CACTAAAAATATTATTTTTTGTATCTGAAAGACTTCTAATATTAACTGAAAGACTGCTAAATTTTGTGAAGATATACACATTATATTGAAAGTTAGAAGTATTAAATCTATAAAGACTTTAAACAAGTACAAAGAGGTCACATGGTCGGTCAAATTGACTGAGCCCGTGTTAAGAGAGTTAAGATTGCAGTCAACTGACATGAATTTCCAGGAAGTGTCATATTTTCAATGTCATACTTTATAACATATACATTTTCTAATATAATAACAAACTGATATACTATTCCAACAAGCTATCTTAAAAGGCTTAATGATCCGTATCACAAGTATGGTTTTCCACATTTTTGCTCAATTTTTAAAAACAATTTTGACCATTACTTCCAACTAATTTGAATACTCATAATCTTGCCTGGATTGTGAACAATCAAACAAATGCCAGTGCCATTTGATGGTCACGGGATGAACACGAGAACCTACTTACTTATGCTAACTAGCCACCAATACTTTTGAGTCTTGATCTTGTGAATCATTAAGCAAATATAAAACTGTTGTGCCATAGCAAATGCAACCATGTAGACAGAATTTTATTTCCATACAATACACAGAAATAGTATTCAGAGAATAATGCTAAAATGTGTAAACATTAGAAATGTACAACACATAATGCAGTGAGACAGAAAACTTGTGATGATAGGGTACTGTTACATTATATTCATTGATTGCTTTCTTTTAAGTATTTTAAATGCCCTTGTATTTGATGTAAAAAATTATCTAAATTAAAATGAATACATTCAAGGCTTGTGTAATATTTGCTTCTCTTAGATCATTTTAGGCCAAGTAAAAAATACGTTTAACATCCTCGCCTGCTTCCTTTTTTGCAGCCGCCTCCTCCCACTTTTCTTTTGCAGATGTTTTTCCTTTTTTTAAATTATCGTACAAAGAAACAAAGAAGACTTCTGAATAAAAAATTAGGTGAACACAGTGGATTAATTTTTCCTTTTTTCTTTATTTTTCTAAATTCTGTATTGTTTTGATGAAAAAATGAAATAAAGAAGACTTCTTTTTGATATGGACCCTTTGAAAACATGCAAAAGTCATGAAAAAAGAGTGCAAACTTTCTTTAAAAGAGGTCATTTAAAAAAGAAAAAATGACCTCCTCCTTCCTTTTTTTGAAAACTCTGGATGTTAAAAATGTTTTTTTTAACTTGGCTTTACATGTTTTGTTTCTGCCTTCTGTTAAATAAATAACCATGAATGATTGATTGGCTTGGAATTATATTTAAATTATTTGCATTCTATAGCTACATTTGAGAAAAATGTGAAAATGAAGATTTTATAATTTGTTTATTTTAGTGACTGTACAACTTTGACATACACTACTGGAAAATAAAAAATATTTAGTAAGTTTTATTAAAATACACGGATTTGTAGTACATTTTTACGATATGGTCTGATTTCAAGACTGAAATTATGTGTCAGTAAAGTTCAATGTTGAGTTTAAATTGAAAACATTGAACAAAAATAAAATGCATGTTAAAAGTAAATTAAATGGTAAAATAGCAAAACTTGCAAGCAATTGGTAGTTGCAAAACTTGAGGCTTGGAGGAGCAAAATGCAGGCATGATGTAAATAGATGGTAATCTGAACATTTCTCTTTTTTACTAAACTCTAGTAGGTTTAATGTATTTTTTCTCAGGGTTAAGGTATACACAAATAAAATAAAGAAAAAAATAGGTATAATTAAAAAAAGGAATTTTTGAATTGTTATATAGTTTTGGCAGATAACCTCCATTATCTTAATCTTCATATTCTGTTTGAATGTTAATATTTCTGATGGAAACAGTCTATTTTTATAGGTTTTTTTAAAGCAGTTTTTTAGTATATATTCTTCTTTAGTTTGTAAGATATTTTCATTCAAGTGAGCTTTGATTTAGTGATCAGGGGCAAAATTTAAAAATTTTTCCACTTTAAAATATATATTTCAAAACTATTTGACTTGTAAATTTTATTTTAACTGTTGAGGAGTCTGCTGTTATGAATAACAATAAATTAAGTAAATGAAAGATAAGTTACTAGTTTATTTATTCCACATTTATATTGATTAGCATTTGACTTGTGATATAAGATCTGTTTTGATTCTTTTTATATCTCTTTAATAATATGCAATTGCCATTCAGCGTCTTTGGGCACGATCGGTAAATAGTGATGCAGTATTAAGACTTAATTCAAAAGGAGTGCTCTCGGAACGAGGCAATGGGGCACCGCCAGTGCGGGGTGGCCGAGGAGGATCAGTGGATCGAGGAAGAGGCAGAGGTTTGTAGTGTATTTAACTTTTTCAGATTTAAAATAATTATAATAATCACATTTCAAAGTGTAACATTTTATCTGCTTATTAGAACATGTAAAATACAATACACTTAATCAAAAGTATATTTTTTATAACTATTTCTAATATAATAATTTTTATAGAAATATTTAACTGTCTTACATTACTTGATTCCTTGTTAGAAAAAGTAACAAAGGGTTAGTGTTTCTGAAGATCTTAGAAGATAAAAGAATAAATTAAATAAATATATATAATGAATTTTATTATCTAGGACGTGGTGGTTATTATCAGAGAGGGATAGAGTATGAAGATGGCATTGATGCTCCTCCTGGTGGCTTTTCACGTACTCGTCACTTTGAAAGAAGTCAAAGCATTGGTGAAAAAGAACAGAGGTGGAATGAAAGGTAGATAGTTTTACAGTTTCTAAAATTGTCCTTTCTATCAAAGAATGTTTAGTTTATCATTGGTAATCATTTGTTAGTCATGGTGATAATATGATTTATATAAAGGAGAGAATTTTCTGCCAGTGTTATATTTGATGTCAGTGTAAGTCTTGTTTTTATATACATAAATGAAACAAACTTTCAAATTTAGCAAGCTTTTTTATGTGTATAGGTACTTATTTTGAATCAGATTGTATAGATTCTTGCAAATATAGAAGTTTCAACTGTTTTGAGATGCTCAGAGAATGCACTACTATGAATTTCTTATGTGTTGATGCTTTTCTGACCACTTGTAGCCCTCTACTGGCTTTTTGGTTTTGCATATCTGAAGCAGAAGGGGTAGTTGCAAATTCTAGTGTTAGTAATTTTATCCATTTTAATTTCTTTAAAAATATATATATATATTTGAAATATCTTTATAAATTGAAACTTACCCTTGATATTATAGTGATGAATGTAATGATGCAATGTAGTATAGTGTGTGTGATACATGTGAATAGTCAAGATTTATATTAAGTCTGCTTCACTTGACCTTCTCCCTTATTTGTTGGAAGATGTAGTGTTTTCTTGTTTCTTTGGTTCTTTAACCTTTTTTCATCCTGTTTATTATAGGATTTGATAACTTCAGTTACTGAGGTCCTGATGAATAATGTTACAAGCTGCCTTTTATTTTTAAAAATTGGAACATATTTGGCTTACTTTTCCACTTTAAAATAAATATTTCAAAACTATTTGACTTGGGAAATCTCAATTTAAAATCTTACATGATTACTATTGCAGTCAGTTTTATCCTTTCCTTGTTCAATTGATTTTGGATTAAAAAATGTAGAAATTTGGTTTTCATTATTAAATTACTACAAGAAAGTAACAAAATACAAATGGTATTTGGCTATATAACCACTTTGATAGCTGTGGTAATCTGCTACAAGGATGAATGCTGTTTCTGATCAGAAAGAGTTATTTTAACAAAGAATCATAGGCTGGGATAAGTTTAAAAATTTACCACAAAATATGCTGTTTTTGTACTTTTGAAAGTCTTTGGACTGAAAGTAGATATTAAGTTATTCAGTTTCTAGCCATGTATGCTCTTTCAGTGGTTAGTAACATACAAAATAATGTTTTTATATTGGTTAATAAACTTAACCATATCTGTATCTTAAAAACTAATTAAGGACCATTCTGTAGTTATACAAGTTATTTCTTTGTAGCATGTTTGATGTTAATTTTTTTTATTCAGCTAATTTGTGTAATCAACATGGGTATTAAATCAGAGTGATGTTAATTCACCCTGTGAAACCAGGTTTAAGAGTAAGATATTTGTCATTGTCTATTGTGCTTAAAGTTTTTTTAGTGTATTAACTGTAGCATTGGAAAACTTTTAGAGTTGTAAGAATCTATTCATTTAGAAATTTGAAATAAGTGTAGCAGATACTTGTAAATACTTCTATTTTAAAATTGTATTAGTCTGATAAAATGTTCATCTTTCCTTTGGATTTATTAAACTTAATTAAGTGCAAATTTAAATACTTCTTATGGAAAAACAAATATATTGCATTTAAAACTATGCATTTTCATAGGGACAGAAGACTGGACAGAATTCCAGGTCTGTAAACTTTTATGTTGTATTTCTTATGAAGAAACTGTTATCTAAATAGTCATTTGGTTCATTATAAAACATTTTCGGAGTGTTTTCCTTTATCAGCTTAACATTATAACATGGAAGTCTTAATATGCCAAGTTTCTGTTAGGGTGTTAACAACGCACTCGT